AAAAATGACGTATTGACGACTCCTAAAAATGAATCCTTATGAATATTGAAATCACGGCATTAATTTTATTAGTTTTTAGTTGTCATATGAATTACCTTGTTTTCAATTGCTTTATTAAATTGTTTACTCATTTACTTATGAAATGATAACATTTCTTTTGTTGTGTGATTTCTGCTGCCAGCTCGTTTCCAAGAATATGCCTACATAATGTTAAACACGACTTCACTTTAAACCTTCAAATAAATAACATTTCTGCAATCGTTTAACCTTTACTTGTCATGTAATGTTTACTTTGATTGCCATGGGCCACAAAAGCTGTAGGGGTTCAATCTTCAACTGGCTGGCAGGAGCCGCCACTGACAGGTCATGTGACCTGCCAGTGGCTGGTGGCAGCTGCCAGTCTGATTCTGGCAGGTCACGTGACCTGCCAGTGGCTGGCTGGCAGCTTCAGGCAGCCGCTGTAGATCTGCGAGTAGAACGCCTACCCTATCACTGTCGCTGCAAGGAAATACACTATTTTATTATGAATATAGCTTTTTTGGATGATTGACCTTTGGTTTTTTCCCCCAACTAAAGTAGTCAAATGAACGTGATCACGGCTGGTTGCTTACTGACGCTTCGTTGGACGCTCAACCAGCCAGCCTCTGCTGCCTCTCATTCCAAGGAAATCATTCTGATTTTATTTTTGTTATTTCTACATTGTTTTTGTAAACAACTTTGAGTCAATTAATATATTATTTGCGTTCATGTCCTCCTATAACAGTTTCCTCCAGTCAGCCTTTTTAAGCTATGAGTATGCCTATGCGTTCCCCACCACTCCTGCTGCAAGGAAATGCATAATTTTATTATTGTGAATATGTTCTTTTGAATGTATTTTTAATATAATATAGGTTTAAGGAGGTTTAATAAGTAGTCTAATGGCTGTGATCCCGATTGGTGGGTTATTGCCGCTTCCGTCCAGCCAGCTGCCAGTTTAACACGTTCCCTACGACTCTTACTGCAATGAAATTAATTGTTTTATTGTTATTAATGTATTCTTATGAATGTATTCTTTTATATCATAGGCGTATAAGGGAGGTTTATCCTGAATAAAGGAGACAAATGGCCGTATCATATGAACAGATGTACAATAAAAAATTATAATATTATTCCCGTATAGAGTGGAAGCAGAGCAACATAAATCTGCCATAAATCAATGGTTCCTGACAGTGGACTTCCAGCCGCCAGGCAGCCAACCACTGGCAGATCACGTGACCTGCCAGAATCAGACTGCCAGCTGCCAATGGTCACTGGTGCTGCCAATCAGTTAGGGATTGAACCCCTAATGGAGTTTAAGTTGGCTTTCTTTTATAGAATTATTAAAAAGCATTGCAGTTTGTCCTGTTGTTGCTGAAATTACTTTATGAGAAAGATTCATGTTATTGGGATAATTCACGTTTTAATAGGCATTTTTATGCTTTACATTATTGCATAACAAATGTTATTACATAACATAAATCGTAAAATCGTCACAACTAGTGGCAGTATCCATACAAATTAGAATGATTTCCTTGGAATGAGAGGCAGCAGAGGCTGGCTGGTTGAGCGTCCAGCGAAGCGTCAGTAAGCAACCAGTCGTGATCACCAGGGTATGTGCAACTTTGGTGTATAAGACAGCAGGCTAACCGGGTAGCTGTATTTTGTGCGAACGATATAAATCATAATGTGATTTTGTAGAAATTGTAATCAGGTGCTAAAAAAAAAAAAGAGTACCCATTAAAATGTCTTTACATCAAGGACCCGATCATAGAAACAATGCACAGTACAAGCGCAGCGTTGAGCTTCTTGAGTCTGTTCAGTAAGGAGCATTTTGATTGGGGGATTAAAAGCTCACCGCGATTGGCTGAACGGAACATCCTCCAAAAAAAGATATTTATGAATCTTAACCTGCCAGGAAGGTCTCAAAAATACCACACACAAATTCAAAGCAGTCCACGCATGTGTGATGATTTGCAAATGCAGATTCAACGATCCATAAATACATGTAACATCATTCATAAATGTGTGATGGAAATTAATTCAAGAACTTGATATATACATATTTGTGTAAACATTTTACATTTATTTAGGTAAGATGCTTTTGTGTGAGCATTTGGGGAAATATTTATGCTTTTACTTCTGTATTTATGAATTGTGTTTTGAATGTACGAATCGGATTTTGTAAATGTAAATTGTGCTGTGAATTTATGAATTTTGTTTTATAAATGTATTATTTTTGAGGCCGATCTGGATCCATATTTTGCATTCATCATTTCTCTATGCTGGATCTCCCATTAACCCGTAGCCTTACAGGCCAAAATATAGGAAATCTGATAAGCACTTGTAATGAAATATTATGCTCATAGTATTAAATTTTATGTAATTGTAGCTCCTGTTCTTTGCAACTGTTGATTCCAATCTGCATTGCTTATTATTGGCCTTCTTGCTATCACTGGTGTGATTTGATACATCTGTCTAAGATGAATGCGTATTATCCTTTTTTATTCGCTTTTCACTTCAGCATGCTCTCTTTCTATCTCTCATTCTGTTTCATAATCCCTCATATCTTTTATCATTTGATTTATTTTCTCTTTCCATTCACCTTTCATTCAGTATCTCATCCGTAACTCTGATCTGCTCATAAACAAGAGATTCCATCTTACACTCACAATGTATTTAATGAGCCCAAATCAAAACACTCGTTACATAACTCATAAACGTCTCTTTGCTTTGATATCAATATCACCGCCCATTAAAGTCTAAGTAGAAGACTGATCTACAGTTTCTTTGCAGCACTTGTTTCCTTGACGATCAACCATAAATAGAAAGTTTTTATGCTTTTCAAGAATGAGAAGTAAAAGGAAGTGCAAGTGCTTCAAATAAAAGATCTCTTTGTCCTCTCCCAGCTTCTGAAGGACTTCCCAGATGAACTGCGGGCTGACATTGCCATGCACCTGAATAAAGAGCTGCTCCAGCTGCCTCTGTTTGAATCGGCCAGTCGAGGGTGTTTGCGCTCACTGTCGCTCATCATCAAAACGTCCTTCTGTGCTCCAGGAGAGTTCCTCATTCGCCAGGGTGATGCTTTGCAGGCCATCTACTTTGTCTGCTCAGGCTCCATGGAAGTGCTCAAGGACAACACTGTGCTGGCTATACTGGGTAAGATTACACACAAACAGTAGGGTCCAGGAGATAATGTAGGGTAATTGGGCTATTTTTCCTAGTCATCTTAATTGGAAAATGTGTCCCAATTTACCTGAATTCACCCCACACACACACACACACACACACACACACACACACACACACAATCAAATTGTATATTGCGTTTTAAACAAGTTTTAAACACTACGGCAGCTGGCTTATAAAAAACTGATTGCAATTCCATTTGGTTCCACTAAAATGACCCACTTTTTATTAATACTTACCTGATTAAGGTAACCAGGTAAAATATGTGCTGTTAACTGTGGAAAACTGAAAACAAACAAAACAATTACATTCAGACTCAAAAGTCATTTCTAGCACTATACAGCGCCTGCAAATGCATTTCTGAGTGTCAGTCATGCTGGCTTATTCAGTGGCCCCTATATTACAATTTCACAGCAATTTCAAAAGCCCATTTAAATTCCTCCTACCTGTCACTATTAATTGTGCTTCCTGTGTGATATTGAAACAGGCCAATACAATAAAAACTGCCCACACATGCACACACACTATCCATTAATATCATTGTATAATTTCTGACATAATTCAGACATCATAAATGAGCTAAATAATGGCTCTTTTAAAGCACCTTAACACACACACACACACACACTTGTTCAACGAATCTCATCCTCCCACTATCTGTAGTTCTTATTGTTTCGAGGGAGGATTCCCATATAATTTTCAAGTCTATTGAACAGTAACTATCCCCCTCCCCCCATTATACACACACACAGTTGGCTCATTGGCTTCATTTTCTCATTAATTGTCTTCCTTTGTTATGCATATTAATACATATATTATCTGCGAGATTCAGCTACTGTTGATGATGAGGTTATGTGTGGTTTCTCTAATGTGCTTGCCAATACATGACATGCCAAAACATAGTGAGCTGGCTGTCTAAGCAGCTACCTTCTAAATGTGAGGCTACAATTACCATTGTTCAGCGATTGTCACCTGCGGAAAATAGTCATTTCAGTCGGAATCTGTGCAGTCAGGAGCTTCACGCAAGTGTGAAAAAAGTTCCCCACACAGATTTTACTTGTATTCAAGTTGGTAACGCAAATTTACACTGACCAATAGAATGCTGCTTGGTTTAAAAGTGACTTCTGTGTTCATGCATTGCTACACTATTGACAATGGATCTTTTTGCTACAAAATGACGCAGACATTTTACTAATGTGTGACCATATCTTAAAGGGATGGTTCACCCAAACATGGAAATTCTGTCTTTAATTACTCACCCTCATGTCGTTCCAAATCCGTAAGACCTTTGTTCATCTTCGGAACACAAATTAAGATATTTTTGAGAGCTTTCTGAACCTCAATATTTAACGATGTCCTTATTACGTTTCTGTGCATTGACTGTGGTAGTTCCCTTGCTGTCTATGCAGGGTCATAGATGAACGAAGGTCTTACAGGTTTGGAATGACATGAGGGTGAGTAATTAATGACCGAATTTTCAGTTTTGTGTGAGCTATCCCTTTAAGGCAGCATTCTAATTGAAATGGAACCTCATAAGTGACAGACATGCATGCTCAACATGAAGGTTTTAAATTCAGGATGTAGATTTTACACTATCTGTTTTTTATCATCCAAAATAAAATAAAATGAAATAAAATAAAATTGATGTAATATTACCATGAACTGTACAGGCCCAACAATATGCAATATTATTAACACAAAAAACGCTTAAAGCACACTGGTGGCTCGTCGACTCACACACAGTTTGAGATGTTTGAGTTTAGCATGTTGCTAAGCTAACAACACAATACTAGTATAGTACAGAATATACAAAATACATACCACATACCCAAATTGGGTAAAATAGTCAATTTTATTTGGATTAAACATTTTTTTAATGTATTATTTTCAAATGAATGAAATGAAACATTTATAATCTTTGTTTCTCTTAACTGGTACGACAACTTGTGAAGGATATGTAGATATGTGCCTTTAAATATGTCCAAAACAGCATATCTTAGAAGGCAGCATACTTTTCAGCTTGCAAATATCCCTTAAAATGCTTTCTCAGTATAGGCAGCTCTCTAGGATTTTTATAACAGCATCTAAATTCCTAATTTTTCCCATTGGCTATGTTGCATTTGACCAGTTGTCTAACCTAAGAACACCTCTTTGCCCAGAGCTGGTATAAATATGAATTCTGCATCCTGACATTACCTTGTACTTTCGTGCCATAAGAGACATTAGCAATCCAGCTCACATGTACTTGAGTCTGTAATTGCTGTCGTTCCCACACTTACATTCGCATTCCTAACATACTCTCCACTCCTGTACTTATATGAAGAAAAATTTTGACATATACATGGAAATCTGATGCACATAGTAATTTTCAGGAAAATATAGTGTAGCCACTCAAATTTGAGTCAAGCATGAGTTAACACTGAAATGTTTTCTGTTTAAATCTTTGGACATGTGTGAATATCTCTCCATGCACTGCACTAGAAAAGGTCAGTGCTTTTTATGGTATTGTAGAGCTTAATGAGCTCGGCAAGTAGCCCAGATGTGAAACCCAGTAGTATTCATGAGAATTCATGATTTTATGACCTATTGTGTCCTTCAGCGAGACACTTAGCCTACTGGTTGCTGCAGTAACTGCCCTGTAAGTTACTTTTGATGAGAAATAACAACAGAATCAGGGATAACTTCCATGTAAATGTCTTTTTTCTTCTGTGAATCACATGATCTTGTAAAGTATACCGTGAGAACATCTACTAGATAAATACTCAATATGTTAATGAAGCAAAAATGCAATGACACCTGAGCTACTTGTCACACTTTTCACTCAAGTGAATATTTCTTCATTTTTGAAAAACAGTTGTTTTATGTGTACAAAGAGATATTGTACATTTCAGCTATTACTGTTCATAAAAAACAAAACAAAACATAAGCTTAACACGTGTTGGGCCCAAGTTTACCTGTCATATATTGAGACTGATTTGAGAATAGTATATTTCAAATAGCAAGATTATGAAACATCAAAACGGAAAACGTAACATACTAAAATATCATAAAAATATTCTAACCTATGACTGTCTATTTTTAACTAGATATTTGAAGCCATTGTGACAACTAACCCAAGTCTATATGAAAATTGTCTGATTTCATTAACAAAAAGTCTGTGCCTCATGTGAAATGACTTGAATTGAAATATAAATCCACAGATAAAAGTATGGTTCTGAAAGTAGCCACAACAGATACATACATTAGTGATAAATAGCCTTTACTGCTATTCCTAATGGCTTATTTTACATAGGACCGTTCAATATGTCATGAAGCAGTAATCAGTTAACTTTACAAGCCCATGGATAAAAATGTACTAATAAACAAATGCATATAATAATATGAATAACAGGGGGGAAAACAAGTAAATGGAAGAAAAAATACATAAAAGAAAAGCCCAGGGTTTTATTTCAAATGGAAATCATTGCCATAAACCGAGTCTGTGGGTAATTTAATTTAAAAAAGTGCTCACCTCTCTGCTTCATCTGAAAGGATCGAGTTAAGGGAGCTGTACACAGGGCCTCCCAAAAAACTTGCTGGGAAGCTTCAAGAAGCCAGATAACAGCAGGCGAAACTGCCTTCAGCTGTTAGCAGAAGGAATCTTGATAAGCTGCTGGGATAAGAAAGCATCTCCTAACCTAAATGTGAATGATAGCTAAAATACATATTTACATATGCATTATTTATTTATTTTTTGCTTTGCAGTGTTTAACAGCAATAGTTCACTCCAAAATGAATGTTGTCATTATACACTCACCCTTGTTCCAAACCTGATGAAACAAAAAAGATATTCTGGTATACGAATTGGATAAGGTTTTGTTTTGTAGAAGATGCAAATGTCAAATGAATATTTTTAGATTCAGAGACTGTACACAGTGTTTGTTGCTGCACACAAACACACACAGGAACAGGGAGAACCTCTTTCATTTCTTCATAATCCAAGGATTTCTTCATAATCCTTATCTAATGTGATGCACCAGAGTGTGTAGGTTAGTGTAATGAACAAATGCTGTCCTCTTTGAGATGTATCAATGCAGCGCTGTCACAAACATCATCCGTATGCCTTTGAGGGTATTAGGACTGGATTTCAATGAACTCATCCTTTCTGTAGTCTCTCTCTGCCTCTTTGTGTTCTTTTAGTTTAGTCACCCAGGACCTTTCCTTTCTGTTTGTGTCTCCTGTTGCTTTTTTTATTTATTTTTTGAAAACTGCAGCTGTGACCATAGATGGACTATGAAACTTTTACTGTGTTTTTCTCCTTTCATCTGAGCGTGGAGCAGCTGCTCAACACACATCCTCACACTTTGTTTCTTAGACCCTTCATTTGAGCCAGACCTTTAAAAAAAAAAAACATTTGGTTGGAATATTGATAATGCATGCTATGATTTGTACCGAATTATACAATTTCTAAAAGATAACATAATTCATATATGACAAGGTGCCTTAAAAGCCTTAAAAAAGGACAAAAATAATTCAGATGCTTACAGTTTTCCATCATAAATAAACTATTTGTCATATCCGAACCCCCTCTTGTACAGTGCCTACAGTTAATCTGGAAATAAAGGCTCTTAAAAGGTCACAGTAAACGATGAGCCAGAGCTCTTGCCGAGCTAAAGGTTCTTGTGTGTGTGTGTGTGTGTGTGTATGTGGGTCTCTTTATCTCCAAATGCCTGAACTCTGTTGCTCTGATCAAATCAAATATTGGCATGCCGCTAGGCCACATCCATCTCTCTCTCACACACACTTAATAATTGATGGTCAATGCATTATTAAAGTGCTTTGACTATTAATACATGACACATGAAGGCGAGAACCATCTCCACACACATGGAAAATAATGTGGGAGGGAGTGAATCAAGGAATGGGAAAAAGAACATGCCATACAGAGGAAATAAAAACAAGACAGACAAATTCTTTCTCTCTGCATATTAAAGATGTTCCAAAACATAGTGAGCTGCCTACCTAGACAGTGTTTTATATAATATATTTATTAACTTCAGAAAAAAAAGTTTTATGCTCACCAAGGCTGCATTTATTTGAACAAAAAAAATACAGTAAATACAGTAACAGTAATATTGTGAAATAATCATACATTTAATTTTTTTTTTTAATATTTTAAAATGTTATTTATGGATGTGATGAAAGCTGAATTGTCAGCCTCCAGTCTTCAGTGTCAAATGTTCCTTCAGAAATCATTACTGATTTGTGAACCATTATTATCACAATTTTCAGGATTCTTTGATTAATTGAGAGTTTAAAAAGAACAACATAATGCATTATTGCTCAAGAACAGTATTAATTTCTTAAAAAAAAAAAAAAATTTGTGACAGAATTGCATATAAATCTCACACCTCCAGTTTCCTTTTCCAGAGAGTGAATGGACCATTAGACCAGGAGATATACAACCTTTAAGACTGAACTATTATGTCTTGAAAGGAAGAGGAAAAGTAGAGCTGTGAATGAATGCACACACACACACATTCAGGTACACGTATATAGCCTGCCTGTGTTCCCATGCACGTCCACTCACTGTCACAGAGAGACTGTTTGGTTCAGTGTTTGGAGGATCTGCGTTTGATGTTGAAAACACACCACCTGCACACATGCAAAGTAATGGCACTTTCCTGTGGCGTTATCGATCTGACAGCTTGACCCGAGGATCCACAGGAGGCTCTGGAGAATACTGGAGAGAGAGAGAGAACGAGAGACAAACAGATAGACAGCCAGGAAAACAGAGAGACAGCAGGAGAAAAAGGCACAGAGCAAATTGGCAATGACTAATAAAAAATGAAAGCTTGAAATGAAAGCGAACGATTAGTCAAGACAGATAGCAATAAACACTTATTCTCGGAACCAGACCAATAAATACACACGCAGACACACAGACGTCTCTGAGCTGCGGTTGGAGTGGGAGTGATTGTTTTAATTTAAGCTGTGATATGAAATGGTTTCCTCCACCTAGACTCATGTCACCTCGCAATGAGATTACACGTGTTATTGCACTGTAGAACTACAGTCTGTCGGGGCTGTGAGGAGAACGAGAGACTGAATCGGAGAGAGGAGGAGAAAGCAGATATAGAGACAAGGATAAAAGGAAAAAGAGAGATGGAGAGAGAGATTCCTGATAATGTTCTGTCACATGGCTCATGTCAGTGTTGCCTGATGGATTGAACTCTATGGATTGACTGTTTGAATGACTGAACGCTAGTCAAGTTCTGTAATGTGGTGCTTAAAGTTCAAACACTTTCAACTTTGACCCCATTTCCCACTGACCTTTCAAAGTGCAGTCAATGATTGCCGGCAATGACAGGTCCTGAGTGATTCATGCGTGCGTTTACATATCTAATCATGTCTTCTAGAGACCAAAGCCACAAGAAATATTTATAATATAATCTTGAATGACTCTTTTCATTCATGTATAGTTACGGTATTGTTTCCAAAAGAATCCTGTAAATAATATTTTTAAACTAATTTAAATTTACCAGCAGTTTTTTTTCATTGGATCTACTAACAAATCAAGAATTTACAAGAACAGGAAAACATCCGTTCAGAAGTCAAATTTATGCCATATTTTTGTATATGTTCTTATTGTTTTGATTGATATGTAGTTTGCAAATATAGTTTTGGCAGAATACATGGCAACTTTGCTTGTCAACGTACAGTCATGTTTTTGCTCACATAGGGAAGCAGAAGAGAACAAGGGGTAAAAGAGCAACAAAATGGGGGAATAAGAAAGGAAGGTGCTTTGGCCAGTTGAAGGAAAAACGTAAAACAAACTGCAGCCATTATGTTCTGCCATGTTATCTCAGAGACAAGATACATAGAGCTCTTGAAAATGTGACAGTACAAACATGCAAAGATATGCAAACACATACCATGCATAATTACCACACCTGATTGCTTGATGAAAGATGCACATATGGTCTACAACCCATCTCTCTCCCAGCACTGCTGAACTCAGTTGCCTCCAACCGGTGTGCCTTCCCAGAATGCAGTGCTCTGACACTTCAGCACACTTCAGAATTTGTCACTGCTTTCATAGTCCCTTTGCACCAAACCAGAATATATTTTTAGCCTCTATGCTGCCTTGTGTGCCCCTCCTGTGTCTCATTTTCAAACCTAGAACAGAAAGTTTTTCCTTAGAACTTTAGCATTGATTGACACTCTGTCTTTGTTTACTTGTCTGAACATGTTCACACAAAATACTGGAGGGATCTAATATGCATATGCAACTTTAAAAGCATACTTATGAATTTTGCATGACAAAGCCTGTGTAAGCCACAAATTAACTTCTATATGCTTTTCTCAAACAGGAAAGGGGGACCTGATCGGATCAGACTCGCTGACGAAAGAGCAGGTGATAAAGACCAACGCAAACGTGAAAGCACTGACGTATTGCGACCTGCAGTACATCAGCCTAAAGGGACTGCGAGAAGTTCTGCGCCTCTATCCTGAATACGCCCAGAAGTTTGTCAGCGAAATTCAGCACGATCTCACCTATAACCTGCGGGAGGGCAGTGGAGCTGACGTGAGTGATGCTTGCAAGCACACATGATGGTATTTAGGGCAAAGGGTGACAATCCCAGAGTATTACCTTTGATTCTACAGCCTTGACTGTAAAGGTCAAGCAGTGTGTGCATGTGCTTTTTTTAGCCCGAATCATGTGCATGAGGGACTGAGGCAATTACCACGAACGTACAGGTCAGGAGTCGATACATCGCCTAGGATCGGATTATCAATATTATACCTATATAATCCTATAAGTCCTATAAATAGATCATCGCTCAAACAGAGAAACACGATACTAGTCGCCTTCATGATCATTTATTATGTTTCATATTCTCTGCTGTGTCAATTTTGTTTCAGATTTTTCCTATAAAATTATTTAAATAGAAATATTACACAGAGTGTACATACAGTTCATACATAGTTTTTGGACAGTTCACCCAGAAATGAAAATTCTGTCGTCATTTACTCCAACCTATGGAATATAAAAGAAGATATTCTTAGAAATGTCTGTTTTGTTTTTCCTGCAGAAGAAAAAACAGTAATACAGGTTTGGAGGGACATGAAGGTGATGACAGAAATTTCATTTTAGAGTGAACTATTCCTTTAATTGGCATAGCTCAGATAAAGTGGTCTCCATTTACACTTTTTCTTTTTGTTTGAATCCTATTAATAATTTTGTACATTTATAAAGAGCTTTTCTCACATAATTTAATCCCATTGCTGATGAAGAGGGGGATAAAATAGATATTTAAAAGTATTTAATTTGTGATTTTTCTGTAACTCAGCTAGTACAGAATGACGCTAACAAAGCTCTTAAAATTACATTTCCAGGCTATATGTGACCCTGGAGCACAAAACCAGTCTTAAGTCACTGGGGTATATTTGTAGCAATAGTCAACAATACATTGTATGGGTCAAAATTATTGATTTTTCTTTTATGACAAAAATCATTAGGATATTAAGTAAAGATCATGTTCCATGAAGATATTTTGTAAATCTCCTACCGTAAATATATCAAAACTTAATTTTATTAGTAATATGCATTTCTAAGGACTTCATTTGGACAACTTGAAAGGCCATTTTCTCAATATTTAGATTTTTTTGCAACCTCAGATTCCAGATTTTCAAACAGTTGTGTCTTGGCCAAATATTGTCCTATCCTAACAAACCATACATCAATGGAAAGCTTTTTTATTCAGCCCTTATGACTGATATATATATATCCAAAAAAATAAAAAATACCTTGCTACGTCTACTGCGTTAGGCTAACCAAGACTTGTCATTTGCACTTATATATTGTTGCTCTTTTGTTAGTTTTGATTGCTTCTATTGTCCTCATTTGTAAGTCGCTTTGGATAAAAGCATCTGCTAAATGACTAAATGTAAATGACTGGTTTTGTGGTCCAGTGTCACATATATTGTTTGCTTTATTCTGAAACATGCTTCAATTGTTACAATGTTGCATTTGCTGGTTTGGTTCACTTCCACAAGGCAATATTTCAAAGCGTATCAAAATGTGTTTATGCAAGTCATCATGCAACGTGATCTCATGATAATTTGTATGTATTTTACGTAAAATGTGGTACTATAAAACATACATTTACTTACGTTTTTACAGGCTCTAAAACGTACAATACTGACGTACTTTCAGCCTCTAAACGTACAATACTGACGTATTTTCAGCCTCTAAACGTACAATACTGACGTATTTTCAGCCTCTAAACGTACAAACATTCACTGCAGAGGATCCATTGGTGAGCAAGTGATGTAATGCTAAATTTCGCCAAATCTGTTCAGATGAAAAACCAAACTCATTTATATCTTGGATGACCTGAGCATGAATATATTTTCAGCAATTTTTCATTTTTGGGTGAACTATTCCTTTAAGCAAATATGTTGATCTTCACACCAACGTGATCTCATGATAATTCATATGTATTTCACATAAAATGTGGTTCTATAAAACGTACATTTATGTACGTTTTTACAGGCACTAAAATGTACAATACTGACGTATTTTCAGCCTCTAAACATACAATACTGATGTATTTTCAGCCTCTAAACGTACAAATACTGACGTATTTTCAGCCTCTAAACGTACAAATACTGACGTATTTTCAGC